GGTGGCCGGCCTGCCTGCTTGCCTGCCTTTATTTATACATAGACTTATCCCTGCCCATCTCCCCGCAATGGGGGACTCTGGGCGGTTTACGTCAAGTTAAAACAATAAATACATGATTAAAATTTATATGGGGACATCATCCAAAAGGTTCAGACCATTTTTAGATTTTAGGAATTCTAGGGTTTTTAGAATGAGATTTTCTCTGGCAATTCCTGTACATAAAAGCATTCCAAAACTCAACATCCAGTGAAAATTGCATATGCTGAAATGGGTGATTTGGCCACTGACTTCCGTAACTCAATCATTTCTGGTGGTTTTGGGTCTGTGAATGGGATGCTGGCGTTTTGTAATTCTCTTCACGTGCATAATTTTACTTTATAATTCTAAAGTATCACGGTTCTAAATTTAGCATTGCAAATACACCAGTTGAGCCATTGGACAGCCCAGGCTCTGCAAAGCTGGTGAGTTCAGGTACGGGCAACCTTGACTGAAGCTGCAACCTTCAGCAGGAGCTCATTGAGAGTGGCTGAGGTGTAGAAGGCCTGCATCAAGGAGCTGGTGCCTTGAAGGCCTGGATACTGAAGGACCTGGTGGAAGGTGAACCAAGATGGCCTTCACCGTCCAAGGGAAGGTCTACTACACCTGTTAGACCCTTCCAGAGGAGATCTGTTTCAAGGATCTCCTCCATCACTGGAAGTTTCTAAGAAAATGTTGGACAGCCACCTGTCTGGGATGGTTGGAGGATTCCTGCCCTGGGGGTGGAGGTGGGGGTGTACTAGGATTCTGACATCTACCCAGCGCTCAGTTGATCAGAGGGCACACAAGTCTCTGTGGGGCAGTGTGGGTTGAAGAGGGCTTCCATGAACTAAGAAATCCCCAAACAAGCTTATATTAAAGTTAAAGGAGTAGGAAAAAGATACAAGAATTTAACTGAAGAACATAGTACAGTTGACGCAGAGGATATAGAATACAGAAAATAGGATAAGAATAGTAAGCAGTTTCTAGAAATAAGAAAAACAATCTTGTTTTGTTGCAAAGAAATCTTTATTTTACATTCTTTTTCTAATTAAAGTCCCATTTGTAAGGGAATCCTGTCACCTTGCCTCTATGATTCCACCTAGCAGTTGACTCTACAGAAACTACTATCAGTTTTATACCCTAGGAAGACTCCTATGTGTTCTAGCTTCCCTTTTTAATGGGCATGCGAGAATACTGCCAAACTTCTATCTATCATAATATCTATGGAGGCATACAGGTCCAGAGAGATTCTTGAAAAAAAGGAAACAGTAAAAGTTGCTGCTGTGCTTTATAGCATGGTGCTTTTTCTTAAACTATCTTAAACATATAGCACCCAATTGGTGGAGCTGTGTAATGCTTTGAATGTCAAAAACAGGCTTTGAAAAGTGCAGTTCAAATTCAATCTCTAACTACAACTCTTTAAAGCAGCTGCATCTTTTTGTGGGATCTTGCAGCAGCGGCAAAGCAACACTGGGCAAGCCAAGGAAAAGATGCAGCTGCTTTAAAAAGCTGCAGACAGGGATTATGTTTGCCCTTCCGCATGCTCTGAAATGTCTTTTCCAAATTACTTCTGCAGTCCTTTTTGGGGGGAATTCTAAAGTGACACACAGCCATCTAGTTTATATTTGGATGAAGAACATGGAAAATAGAGAGGGTTCTATAGATGCATTAATGCTGGGGCATCACACACCTAATCCTGTGATACAAGAAGTGCTTAACCTTCATCTTGAAATGAAACCCACAAAACAAGAAAACATGGGATTAAAACTGACACAAGGAATGCGGACATTTCATAACCAAGTATAACATCAGGGCTGACAAATAAACAAGATTAACTCGAGAGTTTTTTCGAGACAGGGGATTTCTTTTGGTATGTCAAGATAAAGAAAATGTGACACTCTCAGTTACCTACAGCTTTAGCCAAACTTTAGGGTAGTTTCTCAACCTTGGCTGCTTGAAGATGTCTGGACTTCAACTCTCAGCATTCCACGCATGCTGGCTGGGGAATTCTGCGAGTTGAAGTTCAGACATCTTAAAGTCACAGAGATTGACAAACACTGCTTTAGGGTTAAGACCATCTAAGTGAAGCTTGGGTTAAAGTCATTTTTGAGTACAACCAATTTAAAGAAAGAAACTGTTTAAATGAGCCAGTCTTCAAGTTCTTGGTATTATTTATAAAATTTTAAACATTCTCTGGGAGCAAGGATTCTTTGCCTTAAAATTATTCTCGTATTCTTTACCTCATGCATGCATTTTATGCACTGTGAACATTTTTATCATCTCTCCCCTGTATGAATGGTCTGGTGCTTCTTCAAATTTCCCATCTGACTGAAGTCTTTCCCACACAGAGAACACTTATACGGTCTCTCTCCCGTATGAATTCTCTGATGCTTTTTTAAGTCTCCTCCCAGGTTGAAACCCTTCCCACACTGAGAACATTTGTATGGTCTCTCTCCAGTATGAGTCCTTTGATGGTTCTTCAAAAGGACCGCTTGGATGAAGCACTTCCCACACTGCAAACATTTGTAGGGTTTCTCTCCAGTATGGATTCTCTGGTGTGTCTTTAAATTTCCCTTCTGATTGAAGCATTTCCCGCAGTAAGAGCATTCATACGGTTGCTCACCCGTATGAATTCGTTGATGATTCTTCAAATCTCCCTTCTGAGTAAAGCACTTCCCACACTGAGAACATTTATTGAGTCTCTCTTCAGTTCTAGGGTCTTGAGGTCTTTTTAGTGGCTGCATGTAACTAAAATTCTTCCCACTTCCAGGACTGCTATCAGGCTTCCATTCTGCACAGCCAGTCGGAAACATGTTCAAACTGCTCCCTTTCCCATGTTCGGAGAATTCATAGCTTCTATTTGCGGTTACAGTTTTTCCTGGCTTACTAAAACATGAATTATAGGGCAGATTTTCCTCTGATACGGGGCATATTTCGTATTCCTCGCCGGAATGTTCCATTCCAAGTTCTAATCTGTACCGATGCTTTCTACCATAACAGGAGAACGATGGCATTTTATCCCACGTGGGCTTTGTAGCACTTTGGATGATGGTAGCCATACAACACCCAGCATGACGAGCACAGTCATTCTCTCTCTCCTTGGACTGCCGGATTTGGGATTGGCTTCTTCCCAACAGCATTCCCACGGTTGGTGCCACATTCCCCAAACTCAACAGAGGAACCACCCCCTGTGTCTCTGCCGGCTTCTTTTCTCCATCCTGAATATTCTCCATCTTCACCAGACTTCTCTTCCCATCACCTACATTGAGAAAGAAAATAAATTTCCTGCTGATCTGCTGACTCTTTTCAAGATTCCTATGGCCTCCTACTCAGACTTTTTCTCACAAATTAGTTCGTTAAATGTAGCTTACCCTAGGATATCTGGACCAGCCCCTCCTCATCAAACTTCCAAACAACCATATATGCATAGCTCTTTGGAAGAGCATCTGGGGACAAGTGAAGACCATACTACTCTGAGTGGAGGCACACTGACTGGCTGATACTGGAGTCAGTCTACTATTCTTTTTAAACCTATTTGCATTGGTCTGTTAGAAGTCACTTAGGACCTTTGGAAGTGGAGTAGCATATAAACCAAATTAAACAAGTAAGCAAATACATCAGGTAGTCCTCATTTAGCGGCCACAATTGGGACCAGCAACTCAGTCGTTAAGCGAAGAGGTTGCTCAGTGGAACGTCAACTGTGCTGATGATCTTACTTCAACTTTCCTTTGCTTTACAGACCTGCAAAGATCATAAATGTGAGGACTGGTTGCAAAGTTACGTTTTCATCACTGTCGTAAGTGTGAAGGGATGCTAAATGAGGCAGTTGCTAAATAAGGACTACTTGTAATCCATTTTTGCCTATGGTCCAGCAATCCACCTTTGTTCAGAGGCCACACGTTCTTCATTACATACCATTAATCATAGGATCTAGCATGTAGTGTATGAATTAATTAATACACATTTTAATGACCAATAAAGGCTAGAAAGATTCTCTTTTTCAATGAGAGAATTCAAGGCTGCCTTTTGCAGACAAATTCCTCTGAGCAATTAAAAGCTGTTGGAAGTTGAAGGCAAGTATCAAAGGAAGTTGTGTAATAAAAATATCCTATTTGGGGGGAAATACGAAGTAATACTATCAAATACAAATTGGTAGAGATGGTGATAGTTTTAAATTGAAATAATGGGTTCTATTACTGCATCAGTAGAGGCAATCAAAGAAAAAGTGAAGTTTGAAAACGGACATGATTGTGGTTTCATAAACAGCATGAACAAAGCGGGGATGACTCTTGTATAATCCAGAATTCCAAAGAAACACCATAGCATTGAGTCAGAATAACGCAAATGATATACAGGTAGTCCTCGCTTAATGATCACAATAGGGACTGGAAAATTTGTCATTAAATGGGGTGGTCATTAAGTGAAACATTACGTGACTGCATCTGATGTTACATTTTTGTGGCAGCTATTAAGTGAATCATGTGGTCGTTAAGTGAATCATGCAGGTCCCCCTGAATTTGTTTACTGGAAGCTGGCTGGGAAGGTTGCAAATGGCGATCATGTGGCCTTGGGACGCTGCAACCGTCTAATGTGAGCTGGTTGCCAAGATTGCACTCACATGACCATGTGTCAGGTTCAGCCCAAAGAACTCTCCGAGACAGCAAAGATACAGTTCTGTTGCATTTATTAGCTTCCACCT